CAGCAATTCATCTCGTATGCCGGCTTCCGCTTGGATATCTAACGTGTCCATTCCTGCTCTCTACTCCAATCCTGCTCTTTTGGAAGTGTTCCCCTTCTCTGTAAACAGCTGCTTGGTTGTTCCAGTCCTTGTGGTCACCTCATGAGTGAGCTCCACTCATGGCGACCTTAGGTAAAGCCTTGGTCCGTCTTGCACCATCTTTATGAACGCTAGTATGTTTGAGTCCATTGTGGTAACTACTGAGTCAGTCCATCTCGTGGAGGGCTTCCCTTGGTTTTGATGACCCCTGACTTCACCCACCATGGTGTACAACTGACGGGGCTGTGTGTGGTTCCATTGTGACTGGGTTCCCCTGATATAAGCTAACAACAGCAACAGTGAAGAGCATCCCAGTTGGCAAGTCGACATCTGGAGATCTGTGATGGCCAAGAGGCTGGAACCTGAACCATTGTTGTTTTTGTATATTGTATTTTTCAAAATCTTGCTGTGTTGTTATATGTATGTGTATATATGTATGTATCAGAAGACTTAGCATTTTAGGGTTTTCAAGTCTACAGTTTGGTAACATGAGTTGCTTTCACGCTGTAGTACCACCATCTCCGTTCTCCATTCCCCCAAGTTTCATATCAAACAGAAACTCGTGCCTCCTTCAGCAGCAGACCCCCATCCCTCATTCCCTCAGCACCTGGTGACCACTCATCAGTGCCGATCTCTTTACATCTGCCTAATCTCGCTATTTCATACACTCTTGTTGTTGGTACATTGACTCCGACTCATATGGACCTTGAGTAGGGTTTTCAAGGCTATAAATCTTTGTGGGAGCAGAAAGCCTCATTTTTCTCCTGCAGAGCGGCTGGTGGTCTTCAGCTACCGACCTTGTGGTTTTCAGTCCAGTGCTTATCCTATAAAGCCTCCAGCCTCACAGATATTTTGTGTAAGTGGCAAAGCTAACATCCTGTAACTGGAATCAAACAATATTTGTCTTTTTGTGTCTGGCCCCCTTTACTCAGCATACTACTTTTAAAAGGTGTCCTGGTGGCGCAGTGATTTAGCATTTAGCTGCTAACTGAAAGGTCAGTGGTTCGAACCCACCAGCCACTCCACAAGTGAAAGACGTGGCAGCTGGCTTCCATAAAGGTGACAGCATTTAAAACATTACAGAGCAGTTCTGCTCTGTCTGACAGGGTCGCTAGAAGTTGGAATAGACTCAAGGGCAAGAGGCAACGCGAGTGAAGCTGGAAGCACGAGTGGAGGCAGTCTGCATGGCCAGGGATCCTTGAGGAATGAGAAACCAGCAGAAAGTCAAGATGGCAGCTCAGGAGGAAGCAGGAATCACTCAGGGTTCATCCTTGCTGTTCCATGTATCAGAACTTCATTTCTCTTGACGGTTGCCTACTTTTCCATCTTATATCTAAACCCTAGTTTGTTTCTCCATCTGTCTATTGGTGGTCACCTTTGGCTACTGTGTGTAGAGTGCTGCAATGAACATTGATGTACATGCCTTTGTTGGAGTCCCTCTTAAGAGAACAAGGCTCCTTGGTCTGCCCACACATCTCTTTAGAGCTGCGCTGTGCTCAGACTGCCAGCCCAGCCCTCTTCCTTCCCTCTGTCCTTTTCAGGAGTCAGACCTGCATGGCGGCACGGCACCTCAGAACATGGTCTCTGTCATTCTCTCAGCTACATTCAGACCAACACCCACACCTGCATTGAGGTTCTCCCTGGCAGGGACCATAGAAGAGCCCCTCACTGACCTGGACCTGAGCTTGGACTCTGCCAGGCCTGGGCTCCGGGCATCCTGTCAGTTCTGACCCTGAATTCATACTTCTAAACAGTGAGAGAATACACTTCTGCTCATTAAAGCCACCACTGGTGGTAAAGCTGCAAGAACAGCAGTGGCTAGCTAAGGCAACATGTCTATAAAACAAAAAAACAATTCCCCATAAAAGTCCTCCTATCCCCTGTGATGTGCTCACAGTAGGCAATGATAGATACTGACTGAAGTGGTGGACACTTACTCCGAGGGCCTCGCCCGGCTTTCATGCTCAGGAGCTGGGTCTCCGGCTCTTGCTTCACGGGCTCCTCCTGGATGTCATCCTGGGCTTTTCCGGACACCATCTCTCCAGGACCACCAGTTGGGGGCTGTGGGTAGATAGCAGGAGATTCAGGGACCCCAGCATTTCAGCTCACTTATTCCCACCTCAGAAGGAGAGGAGGGTGAGGGTCTGTGGGTGAGGGATCAGACATATATCCTTTTCAGATAGGCATGACCATGGGTACCCCCATTGGAACAATGCCAGGGCTACATTTCTAGAAGTTTTTCATGAAATAACTGAGGTGTCCCAGCATACATTAGATACTTTCACTTATTCCAAGTGAAATATATAGAAATCTGGGGGAACAGGAAGCAACATATTTATAATCAAGTAATTTGTCCCTAATGCCAAAGAGTTGGAAACATTCTCAGATTTCAGCCTCTCTGGATAACCCAGGGGCAGATTTAGTCTCTTTGGTGCCTCCTGGAGTAGCTTCCTGTTCCTTCCCAAAGTTGTAAGAAAAAGCTCTTGTAAGTGTGGTCCATCTTCAGGAATTCGTGAGATTGCTAGGCCTGACAAACAGATTGCTGATTTATGTACAGGGAGGGATTGTAACCTGGCTGTTCTACAACTAGGAAATTTAGATAAGAATACAGCCATTAAGACAATGGGCAAGCCCTTTTGGCTTTTCTAGGGGGAAGGGGAAATGGGACTTGCCTTAGAATTGTATATGGGGAATTGGAACTGGAGGGGGGCTTTTTGGAGACAATAATAAAAACCATTTGTGGTGGGCCATGTGGCATGTCTGTCCGTGTCTACTGGGTTGGGAGCCTGATTTTTCAAAATCGAATAAAGAACACCCCACTCTCACTAAAATGAGTACAGATTGGATTACTTGAGGGTTTATCAGTATAGACAACATTTCTCACAAGTCGCAGAGAATGACCTGTCTGCGCTGGAGGAAAATCGCTGAGCACTGCAGAGTTAATACACTTGGCTGCTGATTGAAAGACTGCAGGTTGAAGTATACCCAGAAGTGCCTCATAAGAAAGGCCTGGCAATTTACTTCAGAAAAACAGCAACTATAACAACAAAACAGCCACTGAAACCCTATGGAGTGGAGCGGTTCTACTCAGACATGTATGAGTAGGAATCCACTCAAAGGCAACTACTTTTTTTTTTCCTGGTGTGCCAGAGGAGAGGCAGGTAAGCGGAATTAACGGCAGAGGGCCAAGATTGAGCGTTGGCTGTTTTTAGGGGGCCAGATAGACTAGGACATGCCCCCAAGTTCAGATTTACTGTGCTATATTGGGTAAGTGATTTCACTTCATTGTGTATCAGATTCTCCTCTGAAAGAAGAGAAAGAAAAATATCCTATTTACTGGGAATGTTAGCTATGTATCAGGCCTGGGAGATTCTGAATTAATGTAATTTTGCACAAATAATGTGATGTTATATGATTTTTATTTTTAATTGTGAACTGAGGGATCGTTGACATGGGAGAACATCAGCTGGCTTTATACCATTCATTTCACTGTAATGATTACAATCTCTTCGGTGTAATGAATCATCATTCAACAGGATTTGCTTCTATTCCCTGTTTTTTGTTTCTGTTTGTTTTGAGGGGAGATGTACACAGAAACACTTAGGAATATATAATAATTTAAACAACCAAAGGGCACATTCTGCAAGCCTGCCTCCTGGCCACCAGCATTTTCCCTCTCTTTCCATGAATCTAGAGTCCTCAGCTGCTCCCTCTCTCCATGTCCCCATCTCTGCCTCCATCTCTGGTCATTGCTTCTCTGGATAAGGGCGCACTTTCTGCTTGTGCTCTTCTCCCTTGATGGTCTTGTTTCTGGACTGTAAGATTAACTACTCCCCCATTTTTGTTACAAAATTTCTACCTTTACAATTGTGACCGTTGCGATTAGTCATGATAACAGTTATTCACAACTGAAGCTTCCGAATCTTATCCCCATCTCTTTTCACCAGACCCATCTAGACAAGATGAAAACTGTTCAGTGGGGACTCTATTCGCCCCCCGCCCCCAAAACACACTCTTAAAGTAAATTCCCTCTTGAAAGTTTGTAAGCCAGTCACTTTGTGACTTTATTGTCCCCTCAATTTAGCTAGCTGATGCCTAACTTTCCTGTCCCTATCTACCCAGATTGTTATAAGATTTTTGCAAACTGTCCACCCCCTCCTGCATTATCTCCCTCTGAGTGCTGTATGAGAATGTGATGAACAGTCTGCAGGTGGGGAGGAGAGGACAAGGGGTCTGGGACACCCCATTTAAAAGAAAAGACTCCAGATGGTTCTGATTTGTAACCAGGTAAAAGAAACACTGTTTTACATTCTGAACAACTATGTTTTATTGTGTGCGTTCAAGCTTTTGTGTAGGTTAAATTAACAAGATGTTAAGTGTGTAGGTTAAATTAACAACATGTTAAGTGTGGTTGAGTTGGTTCCGACTCATAGCATCCCTGTATAGGGTTCCCAAGGAGCAGCTGGTGAGTTTGAACCCCTGACCTTGTGATTATCATGCAGGGTCACATGATGCTCATCAATGCTCAGGAATTGAGAGCTAGTCCATTCTCTGCTTCATCCCTGCCCTTGCTCGGTTTCTCTCCAAGTTCCACACCCATCTTCACCTGGTCCCACACGGCTCCCCCAGCCTGTGGGCCCTGAACTGTGGACAAGGGGACGTTTGCTTGGGTAAGGCAGCCTGTAAACGCTTGACCCTTCCCACCAGCACCGACTGATCATCTATCCAGGTGGGCAGAGCCCTGCAGACTCTGCAGGATGGGGTTACTGCCCAGGCTCCAGGCTAGCTCCAGGTCTCCCCGCTATGGAGTGGTGACCCTAGAGACTGGTCCAAGTGCCTTGGTAGCACTTCTCCGCCCCTGGGGTCCTGCCCTGGTCACCATGGCTTTACTTCAGACTGCAGGAACGGCAGGAGGTGGTGGCCCCAAAGCCCAACATCCCCCCCAAACAGGCCAGTGCTGGGCAAGAAGGTACTTAGAGGGAGCTTTCTTCCCAGTTCCTTCCCCACCTCCTGGGCCCCCTTCTCCTGGCAGCCCTGTCACGTGGCTGCAGGCTCAAAATGGCGCTCCCTCCCCCACCCTCTTCTCTCCTGCTGGTATCAGGATTGCTGGCAGCAGATCCCCCAGCACCAGGCTTCCTGGTGTCCCGTCTCAGAGCAGAATGACTCCGGACTAGAGGATTGTGTCCATTAGATGAGGTTACCTTGTGCAGGATGCTCTCAGCCTAGGAGGGAAACTCTGCCGAGGGAGGGAGCGGTGGGAGAAACTGGCAGCAGGCTGGAGGCTGGAATTCTCGCTCAGAGTTGGAGAAAGAACAGTTTCCAAGATGTGTGGTCCTACACTGCCATCTACTGCCTGTCCTTGTTATGGCCACCAGTGACAAACCAGACAGGCCCCTGTGGCCACTAAGATGTCCCTGTAAGCATCATCTCCATCCAACCACTAGCCTAGATTAGAGCTGCCACACAGACAACCTGTGGATGTCAGAGTAGAACTGACTTCATAGTGGTTTCAAAGGCTGAGGTTTCAGAAGCAGATAACCAGGCCTTTCTTCTGAGGTGCCTCTGGGTGGACTCGAACCTTTTACCTTTCAATTAGTGCATCATGTTCGCTAACTGTTTGCACCACTCTAGGTCTCCTGAGGATCATCTATAAGCCCCCAATCCAGGACCCTAGACTCCAGACCAGTCACCTGCATCCCTCCCTTACATCCGCAGAGCCCAGCGCTGGTCTGCCACCCAGACATCTTGTCATACCTTACCTGTTTCTTTCTTTTTTGTCTCGGGAGTTTTGAACTCTTCAGTCCTTCCACAGGGGCATCTTCCTCGTTTTCAAGGAACTCCTTTGTTAAAAGGCAAACAAATGGGAGGGTTGACACTTGGGGCTATAAATTGGGAAGGATTCTTAAGCCAGGTAAAGACGTCTGATTTTCATAATAGTAAGATGAAAACCATCACCCTTGATCCTGGGCTTTATCTACTGAGGTTCTGTGTGCGATAAGGGACCTAAATCAAAACAACAAAACCCATTGTCTTAGAGTTGATTCCGACTCACAGCAACTGTACAGGATAGAACAGAACTGCTGTTTAGCGTTTCCAAGACGGTAAATCTTTATGGGAGCAGACCGTCTCTTCTCTCTCCCACATCACCAACCTCAGCAGCTATTGAAAGATCCCAAATAAGATGATGTCAGAGCTTCTGCTATTTCTGGTCCTGTGTGGCACCGTAGGATAAGCACTGGGCTTCTGACCCCAAGGTCAACAGTTCAAACCCATCAGCTGCTCCTCAGAAACCCTATACAGGGTCGCTGTGAGTCGGAACTGACTCCAAGGCACTAAACAACAGTCCTTTTGGTACATGACTCTGCTGTACACAGGGTTACTATGAGTCGAACCTGACTTGATGGTACCTAGAAACAACAGCTTATGAGTTCTTACTGTGATCCAGGTCCTAGGGGCACAGGGATAGATGCAACATGCTACATTAAAGTCACACTTTAACTCAGGGGACAAGTGAATCTATCAGTACTCTGAAAACACTGGACTATAACACAGGAGGTGGACACTAGGCACATTAGATATACGGACACTTGGGGTGTTTTGTTGATGGTGATTACTTTGAGTTAATTTCAACTCGTAGTCATTACATTTCATGGGTAGAACTGTCCCATAGTGTTCTCTTAGCTGGCATCTTTATGGAAGCAGATCATTTGGTCTTTCTCCCAAGGAACTGCCATAGTTAGGTGCCAATGAGTCTGCTGTGGCTCAGAGCACCCCTATGTGCAACAGTAGGATACACTGCCTGGTCCTGCACTATCCTCACAATTGTTGGCTGGGTTTGAGCCCACTGCTGTTACCACTGAATCAGTTCATCTTCTTGGGAAGATCGCCCTCTTTTCCACTGACCCTCCACTTTATCAAGCATGATGTCCTTCTCAGGGTCCTCCTGACAATATGTGTGAAGTATGACAGAGGAAGTGTCACTGTCCTCACTTCTAACGAGCACTCTGGTTGTACTTCTTTCAAGACAGATGTATTTGTTCTTCTGGCACTCCATGATACCTCCGATATTCTTCACCAACATCATAATAGAAATGCATCAATTCTTCTTCAGTCTTTCTTATTCACTGACCCGAGAAGCTGTTGCTTGTTGTCATTAAGTGCCGTTGAATCGATTCGGACTCGTAGCAACCCTGAATAGAGGTTCTGAGACTATAAATCAGGGGTGAGGTAACCTTTTTTTCTGCCAAGGACCATTTAGATATTAACATCAGTTAATTTAAATTTATGTTGCTATGAAAAAAGCTCCTAGATCTATTGAATTTTGAGTCCTGTCTGAGGTTGCCTTGGCAGGACCAGACCACATGATTTCATGGGCTTATACGGTCCATCGTGCAGATGTTCCCCACATCTGCTATAAATCTTTGTGGGAGCAGAAAGCCTCATCTTTCTCCATGGAGTGTGAGTGGTTTTGAGTTGCTAACCTTGCTGTCAGCAGCCCAATGCACAACCCAGGAATCCCCCAGGGCTCTTCTCTAAAGCATATTGTTGTTAACTCATAAGGACCCTGTACAGGGTTTCCACCAGTCTTCATACAGCTAGTGGGTCTGGTCTTTTCATGATTTTGAACTTTGTTCTACATTTTTTTCCTCCTTCTTTGTCTAGGACTTTCTATCGTGATCCCTTTCAAAGTAGTTGGTGGTGGTAGCCGGGATCCATCTAGTTCTTCTGTTTTCAGGGTAGGCTGGGTCTCACAGGATCCATTGTTGTTGTTGTTAGATGTCATCGAGTCAATATTGACTCATAGAAACCTTATGCACAGCAGAACGAAACACTGCCCGATCCTGGGCCAACCTCACTACTGTTGCCATGCTTGAGTCCATCGATGCTGCCACATGGCCAAACCATGTCTCTGGGGGTCTTCCTCTTTTTCTCTGACCCTCCACCTTACCATACATCATATTCTTCTCCAGTGACTGGTCCCTCCTGACAATATGTCCAAAGTATGAGAAACAAAGTTCGGCCATCTTGGCTTCCAAAGCGCACTCTGGCTGCTCTTCTTCCAAAACGGATCTTTTGACGGCCCATGGCACTTTCAGTATTCTCCTCTAACATTGTCGTTGTTGTTGTTATGTGCCATGGAGTTGGTTCCGACTCATAGCGACCCTGTACAGGGTTTCCGAGGGTGTAAGTCTTTGCAAGAGTAGAAAGCCTCATCTTTCTCCCGCAGAACAGCTGGTAGTTTTGAACTGCTGACCATGAGGTTTGCAGCCCGATTCATAACCACTACGCTACCAGAGTTCCTTTTCTTCTAACATTAGTCCTAGGTTAGTTCAGCCTTCCTATAAATGCTCTGTGGCAGCATCAATGGTCTACAGTCTGATTCCCTTCTCTCTCTGGTCTAGACAGTATTTTGACAATACATACATACATATATTGTTGTTGTGAAGTGCCAATGAGTCGGTTTCTACTCATAGCAGCCCTGTATAGGGTTTCTGAGGAGCCGTTGGTGAGTTTGAATTCTGACCTTGTGGTTTACAGTCCAGTGCTGATCCTACAGTGCCAAACCAGGACTCCAAGAGATACAGCAGCCCAAGAATTATATTAGCCACTGTGGTCTACAATCATTGTCTTCCTGCTGAATTTCTTTAGAATCAATGTGCATACAAAAGGCACTGTATTGGGCTGAGTGGGATCCAGTAGTAGACGCTAACTTAGATCTGTTAACGCAGCTCCAGAGAATCCAGGTTGGACTATAAACTACAATCCCTCTACCATCCACCCCCATATAGCCAATACAGTGCCTTTTGTATGCAGTTCTTGTTAGGTGCCATCGAGTTGGTTCTGACCCCTGTATAGGGTTTCTGAGGAGTGGCTGGTGAACTTGAGCCCCTGACCTTGGGGTTCAAATAGACTTTGTGGTCCAGAGCATTTAACCTACAGTGCCACACCAGGACTCCTTTGTATGCAGTAGGTATATAATGAATGCTTAAATTTCTTTCTTTTTGTTAACTTTTTATTGTGGATTGAGTGAAGGTTCATAGACAAGATCCTCAGCTTTACAGTCAACAAATCAGATATTTTGTTTCATCTCAGTGATTACAATCCCAGCTATGTAACAACAGATATCCTGCTTCCTCCCTGTGGTTCTTATGTGAAATGCTTACTTTTCTAAGTCACCCGCACACGTAGCATGAACACACACACACAAACACACACGTCATAGAGAACATCTAAACAAACACTTACCTCTGTAATTATCTTCATTTTCTCCTCTTTGGGATTCATTTTGGCTGGGATGGATTCCTAAGGGCAAAGAACAACGAAGTCAGGTGTTTTGTAACCAATAAGACTTCTGGTTTCTTGCTCTTGGTAATCATGAAACTGACCTTGATGACCAGTGTTGGAGTTGAGTAGACTTTCTATTTACAAGGGATTGGTGGAAATAAACACACCCACAAGAGGAAGGTTGCCTGACTCTCTTGCAGTGAGCCTGGCTTTCCTGTGCAGGAAGTCAGAACGTGAGAATAGCTCTGCCTTTGGAACTGATTATGTTGGTTGGAATCCCAGCTCTTAAAGATCTTATATACCAGTTTTCCTCTTACCTCAATGAGAGGGGTGATGGCTTAGTGGCAGAATCCTTGTCTTCCCTGTAGGAGACGTAGGTTCAATTCCCACCCAGTATGCCTCATGTGTACCCACCACCTGTCTGTCAGTGGAGGCTTGCATGTTGCTGAACAGATTTCAGGGGAGTTCCCAGAGTCAAAGAGATTAGGAAGAAGGGTTGTCAGTCTACTTATGAAAACCAGCCAGTGACAACCCTATGAATTACAATGGTCCAATCTGCAATCAAAGAGCTCTGGTAGTGTAGTGGTTATGAATCAGGCTGCTAACCTTCAGGGTCAGGAGTTTGAAACTACCAGCTGTTCCGGGGAGAAAGATGGGGATTTCTGATCACATAAAGATTTACAGCCTCGGAAACCCTGTACAGGGTCACTATGCATCGGAACGGACTCCAGGGCACATAACCACCAATCTGCAACTGGTTATGGGAATGACACTGGACTGGGTGGTGTTTTGCTTCATTGTTCAAGGGATCACCATGCGTCAGGGGAAACTCAGTTAGAGCTAGCAATAATAACAATAAAGTCTCCTCTCAAACTTTCACCCTTCCCTTTCTCCTCACTCTGCTCATGGCCTGGCTGCCCATTTCACTAAGCAAATAGATGAAACCAAAAAGGGCCTCCAAATCTCTCTCCTCCTCCTCATCCACCCCGCCCCCCTTCACATGATCCTGTCACCCCTTGGCTTCCCTGCGTTCCTGTGAACCATCCTTGCTTCAGTCTGGACCAGTTTCTCCGTTCTTAACTCTGGACCCCAATACCTCCTCTCCTCCAGGACAATTTCTGCCATCACCTGCACTCGATTCTCCTGCTCTATTGCTTCATTTCCATCAGCGTAAACAATACTGCAATTTGTCACTTCCTTTAAAGAAGTCCCCTCTTGAATTCACTTCTTTTTTTTAACTATAGCTCCATATTTCAGTCCTTTACAGGAAACCTCTCCAACATTCCTCCTCTTTCCAATCTGTTCTTGGGACTCACCATTCCCCTAAAGTTTCTCTTTCTGGGGTCTTCAATGACCCCATCATTGCCTTGTATCACTGCTTATCTTATTAGACCTTTGCAACATTGAGCATACCCTGTCTTTGAAATGCTTTCTTCACTTGGTTTCTGGGACATGGTCTTTCCTGGTTTTCCTTCCACCCACTGACTGTTCCTCCTCAAACTCCTTTGCTGGTTTCTTCTCCTTGCGGGGACCAGCATCGCACATGGGAACATTGCTGGCTTCAGTTCTGTTCATCTCCAGGGAACATTCATCCTAGCCTTGGCTTTACATGCTGCCTGCATGCTGAGACATCTCACATGTACAACCTGGGTCCTGTCTTCTCTGCAGAACTCCAGACTCAAATATCTAACTGCTTGAAGGACATCGTCACTTGACTTCTTGTTGTTAGTTGTGGTCGAGTTGGTTTCAATGCATCGTAATCTTAAACAGAAAGAAATACTGCCCTGTGCTGTACCATCCTCACAATTGTATTATTCATGAGGCTTTCATTGGTTGGTTTTTGGACGTAGATTGCCAGGCTACTCTTCCTGGTCTCTCTCCTTCCCGAAGCTCTGTGAAAACCTGTCCACCATGGGTGACACTGATGGTATTTGTATTTTGGGAGTATAAATCAAAACCAAAGCCGCTACTGTAGAGTTAATTGATTCCCATTCATCATGACCCCATGGGACAGAGGAGGACTGTCCCGTAGGGTTTCCAAGGCTGCAAATCTTTATTGAAGCAGACTTCACATCTTTCTCCTCTGGAGTGACTAGTGGATTAGAAATGACTTAACAGCACTTAACAACAACAACAACAACATACTGGTACTGTCTCACTCACATTGCAGAGAAAGCTCATTCCCAAATGAGACTGTAATTGCAGGTATAAAAAAATAAAAACTAAATCCACTGCCATCTAGTAGATTCCAACTCATCGTCACTCTACACAGGATTTCTGAGACTATAAATTTTCCTTGGCACTGACAACCTTATGTTTCTCCTGCAGAGTGGCTCATGGGTCTGAATTGATGAGCTTAAGGTCAGTAGCCCAATACCTATCCCACGGTGCCACTAAGGCCCCAACCACATGTTTTGAGATCAGACACAATTCAATCTCTAATGCACACCTATGGTTTTGTTAATTCATGGGGGTGGAATGAATCTTACAGAATTTAAGTGAGATCATGATGCTGCCTGCTCAAAGCCATCCAATGATTTCCCTTTCTGTTATTGTTGTTGATAAGAACTCAGAGCAATCCCATATAGGGTTTCTGATGGGTGGCTGGTGGGTTTGAACCGCCAACCTTTAGATTAACAGTTCAGTGCTTATTCTACAACACCACACCAAGACTGTTGTTTAGTGCCGTCGAGTTGGCTCCGACTCATAGCAACCCTGTGTAGGGTTTCTGAGGACCGATTCGTGGGCTTGAACTGCCAACCTTGCAGTTCAAACGGCTTTGCAGTCTGACACATTAACCCACAGCACCACACCAGGACTCAATACTCAATACTCAATAAAGATCTGTTGAATGAATGTATAAATCACTGTTTACTGTCTACACTTCCCTGCCACATTCTGGAACCTGTCAAAGCCTCATTTCCAACTTTGGGCTGCAGGAAGAATCAGATGAGAGAATATTTGCAGAGATCTGTAGCCTGTGGGCCAGCATATCTTAAGTCCTGCTTTAATGTGCGCAAAACCTGAGGTCACTCATTCATCTCATTGACCTCACTGGAAAGTCAGCGTGTTGAAAGTGCTGTAAAGTGTTGCCTATCTGCATCCCATCATGAGATACTATTGTTATTACGTGCTGTCAAGTTTGTTCCGACCGTAGCAACCCTATAGAGGGTTTCTGAAGAGCGGCTGGTGAGTCTGAACCACTGATCTTGAGGATCAAACTGCCTTTGTAGCCAAGTGTATTAATACATAGCACCTAGAAACAGACAAAAGTGTCTGAAATGATAAAAACACAACTGCCAAGTTGACTCCCACCATAGTGACCCTATAGGATAGAGTAGAATTGCTTCTTAGAATGTCCGGTGCTAGAACTCTTTACAGCAACAAAACACCTCATCTTTCTCCAGCAAAGCAGCTGGTGGGTTCAAACCGCTAACCGTTCAGTTAGCAGGGTTCACTACACTTAACCCATGGTGCCACCAGGACTGTGGGATGATAAAAACAGCTAAGGAAATAAAGAAGTTCGAAGGTAAAGAGAGACCCAAAGGATGGGCCATCAGAATAACATGTGACAAGACACAAAGGCGCAGCAACAGACATCTCTGTCATTAGGAAAACAGAACTCTGACATATTTTTAGTAATAAAAGAGGTTCTTTCTCTATAAACTAAACTAAAACCCAAACAATTTTGCACGTGAAAGAAAGAAATAGAAGTAGAAAATAAAACTGTATTGGAGATGATCTTTCACTCTTTATTCTTTCCTGATCATTACCTCTGAATGAGTTTCCAAGGAAATTAAAAGACACCATAATTTATTTTTCTTATGAATACTGCTGCTAAAAAAAGACAAATCATTACTGCCAAACTTTAATATATAGCTTGTCATCACAAATGCATTACGTACTTTACAATATAGTTCCACTGACTACATTAAAATAAGAGCCATGATTTATTGCAGGCTTATTATTATATTATTTTTTTGAAGTTTTTATTGTAGTTTGGGTAAAAGTTTACAGAGAAAATTCGTTTTCCAGTCAACGGTTTTTGCATATTTTGTTTCTTCACATTGGTTGTAATTCCCTCAAAGTAAGAGCATTCTTCCCACTTGCTCCCTGCCCATGCCCAGCCCCCACTCACTGACCTTTGTTTTGGTTAAATGCTGCCTTTTTGGTCTTGTATGGTTGAAGGCGGAAATCATAGGACAATATCATTAATATCATACGCAAGTAAAATTTTGTTAAAGATCATTAAAAAATGGCTGCAACAGTCCACTGATAGGGAACTGCCTGAGGTTCAAGCCAGATTCAGATGAGAACGTGTAAGGAGGGGATATCATTGCTGACATCAGGTGGATCTAGGCTGAAAGCAGAGAATATCAGAAAGATGTCTACCTGTGCTTTATTTACTATGCATAAGGCTTTCGTTTGTGTGGATCATGACAAGCTATGCACAATACTGTGGAGAATGCATATTCCAGAATATTTAATTGTGCTCATGAGGAACCTGTACATAGACCAAGAGGCAGTCTTTCAAACAGAACAAGGGGGCACTGAATGGTTTAAAATCAGAAAAGAATTGAAAATATTTACTGATGAAGATCAAAGACCAATGTGTAAAGACAACCCAAATCCTCACAACTCTACTAATAAATAGCATCCTGATAAACGGAGAAAAGATTGAAGTTACCAAAGACTTCATTTTGCTTAGACCCACTATCAACACTCATGGAAGCAGCAGTCAAGAAATCAAATGATGTATTGCATTAGGTAAATATTCTGCACAACATCTCTTTAGTGTTGAAGACCAAAAAGGACTAAAGTGCACCTGATCCAAGCCATGGTATTTTCAATAGCCTCATATGGAGTCCTGATATGGCGCTGTGGGTTAATACGCCAGACTGCAAAGCTGTTTGACTGCAAGGTTGATAGTTCAAGCTCACCAGCTACTCCTTGGAAACCCTATACAGGGTTGCTATGGGTTGGAACTGACTCGACAGCCC